GGAGTCGGGGTTATGGGGTTGGAGTCGGGGTTATGGGGTTGGAGTCGGGGTTATGGGGTTGAAGTTGGGGTTATGGGGTTGAAGTTGGGGTTATGGGGCTGGGTTGGGGGCTGGCACTGGGGTTAGGTTGGGTATGGGGTCAGGTTTGGGCTGAGGCTGGGTGCGGGGTGGAGTTAGAGTGAGGTTGGGGTTGGGTTGGGTTGGATGGGTCCTGGAAGATCAGAGAACCATGGAATGGGGTTGGAAAGGTCCTGGAAGATCACAGAACCATGGAATGGGTTTGGGTTGGGTAGGAAGGGTCCTGAAAGATCACAGAATCATGGAATGGATTTGTGTTTGGGTTGGGTTGGAAGGGTCCTGGCAGATGACAGAACCATGGGATGGGGTTGGGTTGGAAGAGTCCTGGAAGATCACAGAACCATGGAATGGGGTTGGGTTGGAAGAGTCCTGGAAGATCACAGAACCATGGCATGGTGGTGGGCTTGGGTTGGAAGGGTCCTGGCAGATGACAGAACCATAGGATGGGGTTGGGGTTGGGTTGGAAGGGTCCTGGAAGATCACAGAACCATGGGATAGGATTGGAGTTGGGTTGGAAGGGTCCTGGAAGATCACAGAACCATGGGATGGCGTTGGGTTGGAAGGGTCCTGGAAGGTCACAGAACCATGGGATGGCGTTGGGTTGGAAGGGTCCTGGCAGATGACAGAACCATGGGATGGGGTTGGGTTGGAAGGGTCCTGGCAGATGACAGAACCATGGGATGGCGTTGGGTTGGAAGGGTCCTGGAAGGTCACAGAACCATGGGATGGGGTTGGGTTGGAAGGGTCCTGGCAGATGACAGAACCATGGGATGGTGTTGGGGTTGGGTGGGACCCCCACCCGCACCCCGCAAAGCCCCTTTTTGGGGTCACCCACCCTCGGCACAGGAGCAGACGCCGCGCAGAGCGCCGGAGGAGCTGCGGCCGTTCTTCTTCTCGTGGTGGGTGTAGCGCAGCTTGCGGGTGCTGGTCCCGTCCGACAGCCTCACCTCGATGTTGGGGAGGTCGCGCCAATCCGAGCCCGGCGCCAGCGGGATGTGCCGCATCCGCGCCGCCACCAAAGCGCTCATGTCCTGCCGCAGCCAGCCCCACATCACCCCACGGCACGCACACGTGGGGGGACGTCGCGGCCACGGTCCCGTCTGGGGGGCTGGGGGTCCCAACATGGCGTCCCCCCTTCCTATCTGGGGGTCTGGGGGTCCCAATATGGCATCCCTCATTCCTATCTGGGGGTCTGGGGGTCCCAACATGGCGTCCCTCATTCCTATCTGGGGGTCTGGGGGTCCCAACATGGTGTCCCCATTCCATCTGTGGGTCTGGTGGTCCCAACATGGCGTCCCTCATTCCTATCTAGGGGTTTGGGGTCCCAATATGGCGTCCCCCCTTCCTATCTGGGGGTTTGGGGGCCCCAACATGGCGTCCCCGTTCCCATCTGGGGGGCTGGGGGTCCCGACATGGCATCCCTGTTCCCATCTGTGGGTCTGGGGGTCCCAACATGGCGTCCCCCCTTCCTATCTGGGGGTCTAGGGGTCCCAACATGGCATCCCTCATTCCTATCTGGGGGTCTGGGGGTCCCAACATGGCGTCCCCGTTCCCATCTGTGGGGCTGGGGGTCCCAACATGGCGTCCCCCAGTCCTATCTGGGGGTCTGGGGGTCCCAATATGGCGTCCCCCATTCCTATCTGGGGGGTTGGGGGTCCCAACATGGTGTCCCCCAGTCCTATCGGGGGGGCTGGGGGTCCAAATACGGCGTCCCCTCTTCCAATCTGTGGGTCTGGGGCTCCCAATATGGCGTTCCCATTCCCATCTATGGGTCTGGGGTCCCAACGCCACACCCCCATTCCCCCATCTATGGGTCTGGGGTCCCATTCCCTCATCCCCTTTCCCATCTATGGGTCTGGGGTCCCACCCCCACACCTCCATTCCCATCTATGGGTCCGGGGTCCCATTCCCTCATCCTCCTTCCCCTCTATGGGTCTGGTGTCCCATCCCCTTGTCCCCCTTCCCATCTATGGGTCTGGGGTCGCATCCCCTCATCCCCGTTCCCATCAATGTGTGTGGGGTCCCAATCCCACACCTCCATTCCAATCTATGGGTCTGGGGTCCCATCCCCTCGTCCCCATTCCCATCTGTGGGTCCAGGGTCCCAACCCCACCCCCCTACTCCCATCTATGGGTCTGGGGTCCCATTCCCTCATCCCCCTTCCCATCTGCAGGTCTGGGGTCCCGTCCCGGTTCCCCTACTCCCATCTATGGATCCGGGGCCCCAACCCCAGCCCCCATTCCCCGCTGTGGGTCAGGGGATCCCAGCTCGGTTGCCCCTCTCCCATTTCTGGGTCTGGGGTCCCACCTATGGGTCTGGGGTCCCACCCCCACACCTCCATTCCCACCTATGGGTCTGGGGTCCCATCCCCTCGTCCCCATTTCCATCTGTGGGTCCAGGGTCCCAACCCCACCCCCCCATTCCCATCTGTGGGTCTGAGGCCCCAACCCCACCCCCCAATTCCCCGCTGTGGGTCAGGGGATCCCAGCCTGGTACCCCCACTCCCACTTGTGGGTCTGGGTTCCCACCTATGGGTCTGGGGTCCCATCCCCACACCTCCATTCCGACCTATGGGTCTGGGGTCCCATTCCCTCATCCCCATTCCCACCTACGGGTCTGGGGTCCCATCCTGGTTCCCCTGCTCCCATCAATGGATCCGGGGCCCCAACCCCACCCCCCATTCCCTGCTGTGGGTCAGGGGATCCCAGCTCGGTTCTTCCACTCCCATTTCTGGGTCTGGGGTCCCACCTATGGGTCTGGGGTCCCACCCCCACACCTCCATTCCCAC